AATCCTCCAGCCGCAGACATTCTCAGTAAGCCCAACGTGGCTAGTTCTAGATCTTGGCTTGGCCTGACCTAGAGTACCAGATAAAGCAAGTGGCTGGCACCAAGGGCCACGCTGTACAAAACACGTGTCTCGAACACTGGACTCCCAATGGTGAGATGCCCGTGCGGGGAATGAACGAAAGCAGATACCACCCTCGGACTCACTCTCCACCTCACTCATTCGGGGTACGCGTCCACCCCGGGAGGAGTAACTGCATTTGCATGCCCTGAATGCACACAGGATGCGGCTCCATAGAACCTGACTTCCGTGAAGCTGTTTCCTCTCCTGTAAAATAAGGCAGTAAGAGCACCATATCACCAGGTTATTGTGTTGATCAAATAAGGCGTGTGTAGGAATTCCAAATTGCTGCCAGGAAATGGCACTTTCCCCTCCACACCCCCAATTCTCCACACTAGCTGTGTGACTTTGAGCAAGTCTCTTCTCTTGCTGGGTCTTGAGGTTCTCAACAACAAAAGGTGGGGGTTGTATTTGAGGATTTCTAGCTTGAAGCTTTAGAGCAATTCTGATTCTGGGGCATTTAGAGCAGTCAACCCTCTCTCCAAATGCTAACTGATGCCTAGCGGTTTTTCCTGGGCTGCTCTATCCAACTGGTAAGGGCTGCCATCTACAAATAGCCACATGCACACAACCACATGGAAGCCGTGAGAATCAAACGTGTCTTAAAGATTGTGTTTTTCACTGGAACAGCGGAGGTGTGCTTTGACTGCACAGGTGGCCTGAATGAACCATGCTCCCTCCTACAGTCCTTGATGGGCACTGCTGATGGGGGTAGAGCACAGCACCCCCCTCCAAGGGACAGACACACATAGGTAAGGAGGACAGACACATGTGGCTAGGGAGGACGGACACACGTGGGTAGGGAGGACGGACATACGTGGCGTAGGGAGGACAGACACATGTGGGGTAGGGACTCACTATCCCTGGTTTGGGGAAAACTCTTTGGAAAGCAGGCCCAGACTAAATTCTCCCAGCTTCTCCACTAGCTGTGAAGGCGTAGGCAAGGTAACCTTCCTGAGGCGTGGTTTTCCCATCTGCATAATTACGACAAGCCGATGTTTCTGGGAGCACAGCACTGCTTAACTTAGAAGCTGCCGGGGTAGACCACAGGATTGGTGGGAAGCCCCTGCCTCTCCAGTGAGATGAACTCCACATTCAGTTAGTTAGTTCCACTTTTGTCAGTGCCGTTGGTCTGCCCACTGCTTGGCCTCTGAGCCTGTGTCCACACCAACAAAGCCAGGGCACCATCGCTCCCACAGAACTGCTGTGCCTTGCTCTTCACCGGCACCCCAACACTTCTCTCGCTTCATCTTCCAAACCCCTGCTGGCTTAGCTTATGTGCTAACTCGGAGCAGTGGTATGAAGGAAAATGCCTTGTCCTGTCTTTTTAGGACCCTTTGCAGACGCAAACAGCCTGCCTTCACCCGAGCACCTCAGTGTGCCTGACTCCTCACCCCAGAACCTGGCCTTGCCAGGGCCAGCCTCCAAAGCAGCCTCGCTACACCACACACGTCTCATCCCCTGAAGGCAGGGGCTCTGGTCCTCTCATCTCTATGTTCAGCAAATAGGAAGTTCCACTATCTCCTTTCGGAAGCAGCTCTCTGGGAAGGCAGCACAGGGACAAAGCCAAGGGAAAGGGTGAGTAGAGAAGGGAATACTTCGGGAAGAGAGGGTTGTGGGAAAAGAACGTGACGTTGGACTCTGACGACCTGGACTCAAATCTCAGCTGTGTGCTTGCCAGCTAAAGGGTCCAGACAAGCTGCAGTAGCTCTGAGCTGCTCCCTGGTCTGTAAGATGCAGACCATATCTGTCTAGCCCAGCACCCACATACTGAGTACCGGCTGCTTCACGTCCCAGTGCTGCTCTAAATGAATGTGACCCCACTGCAACGCCAGGAAGGAGATGCTACCCTCATTCTGTAGGTGCTATCAGGGAGGGAAATGAGGCTCAGAGAAATCTCGGACATAATTCTCCCGGCTTCACAGAGCTAGTGAGACACTCAACAAATGGCAAGAGTTACTGCTAGTAGGCAGCGATGGACGGAGCACAGACTCAGAGGGCCAGTGGCACGGGCATCCCAACTGGAGTTTCGACAAGAACTAGCTCGAGTCTTACTCTCACTACAACGAATGACATAAGCCAACCAGTGCTATAAATAGAGTTAACATAATATATTTATTTTAAGTGCCATTCATGCATATCAGTTCTGGCAGCAACAATCCTAATGACACTTGGGATATTTCTTTACAGCACTAAACAGTTACAAAGAATGGGTGCCGTTCATCGTAGAGGCAAAATATGAAATCGTGCAATAGCAAAACTGTAGAAACATTAAAACACTGACTGTCCAACAGCAGTACAGAGAGCAGGTTGAGTCTGCACAAAAAGCCAATGCGTTTTCACCACATATATACAATATAGATATGTACACATCACCCTCTGAATGAGCAATATCAAAATACTCTATTTCATTTGAAATTATCCCCGGATTGATTCCCTCCCACTTCAAAGGACATCTGAGAGACACGTATTTACAAGAACACACGTGGATACATTTACATTTCAAAAACTGCCACAAATGCCAGTCGGATTATTCTCCTGGACAGAGTGCCCCCATTTGATTACTTGCATTATTGCTCTTCCCCCCCCCAAAGTCTTCAGTCAATTTAAGCCCAAGACGAAACTTGCTTTACCAACGGAAACAGCCACTAGGGGGACTCTCTGCACCTCAGAGGCGGCCCCATCTGGCCAGGGCCCACAAGGAAGACGGTCCTGGGCTCCCATGCCACTTGGGTCACAGGATGTGGGATGGGTCTGGCGGAAGCTCTGCCCCCAGGGCCATTCTTGGTAATTTTAAATTCTCATAAAAATATTGATCACTGCAAATCAGTCAACGATTGCCAAATGGGAAATGAGCTTCACACAATTTGTAAAATCATCAGTGGTTCCACCCAAATCACTCAGTATGAGAGACTGCGTTCCAATACCCAAATTGTTTAAAGTGCACATTGCTACCCAAGTAATTTAAACAGTTTCAAAACAGCTATTTTGGTGTCTAGGAAACAGTGACTTGAGCAGACTCTTGGAAATCGCCCACCCCCTCTCCCAAGCTTTTCCTCTGCAGGCTGCCATCTCATCCCGCCTCTGATCCTTCTAAGGGGTCTGATGGCTGCTTTTCCAGAATCCTCTGACTTTTGCTGATCGAAGGGGCTGGAACTGAGCTTCCTTTTTTATGCCAAGCAGGGTCCAAACAACAGAGAAACATAAAGCTCTTCCTTTCTCCCCAACCTCACCAGCTCTTACCAGAGCTGGCTGCCCAGTGATTCATTCAAGGCAACACTCCACTTAAAACACACGTTCACAAACACCCCCCCCACACACACACAGAAATAAAGATGTTTGTTTAGTTCAAGTAGAGATTACTCAACCATAGGATCACCAAGGCTAATTAACGTGATTTAGTATGGCTGACAGAGACCAGAGATGCTGAAATGCAACCAGTTAACATTTAGTACTCCTTGATTTGATGGGATGTAATTTCCCCATTGAAAGAAAGACAGAAAAATTTTTGGTCTAAAGAACCAATTGAAACTCTTATTTATCAAAACAAAAAAAAATCTCATTTCTTCTAGTTGTTTTACTCTTTTTTTCCTTAAATAAAACTAAGACAATCAATCCATGCAGAGTAACTGTGATATGGTATGAAATAAAACTACTAAAACCCCTAAGAGGTGGGCTGCATTTCAAAGAAAATGACCAAATGCCATGCATCCACAGACACCCAGGACAACAGGAACAGCAGGCCACTTGACAAAGGCACTGAAGACTGAGACGAGCAACACCTCTGTGTGGCTCTACCCTCCTGTCAGTGCTAACTAGGTGGAAAGAAAGAGAGAAACTGGGGAACCTTACTTTAATAAGCACTGCCCTGTGTTCTGTTGCCCAAATGCATTGATTCAAATTCCAGAAAAACCCTATTTAGCTAATAA